CTCTCTCTCTCTCTCTCGTCTTCTTTCTTTTTTTTTATTTCGATAGCCACCGTGTGAAAGCTATCGAATGGCGTACGTTTGGAAACGTGAAAATATTTTGTCAATTACACTTACGCGAATATAAATCGAATAAGGGTTTCGAAATGTTATTGACATTTTCTTCCTTGCCTCTAATTACTTTTAAATCAACATCGTTCCCACTCCTCCAACCCCGCTATCCCGCCACATTACTTCGCTTTCTTGAACAATTATTTTTGGTTTTATTCTCTCTCTCTCTCTCTCTCTCTCTCTCTCTCTCTCTTTGTCTTTCTCATTCTCTCTATTGAAGTTTAATAAGATAGATTATTTCCATCAAAATCAAAATAATCAAACAAAAAAGTGATATTAACAATCTTACGAGTTCATATAATAACGTCGTTTCTCTTTATGCAATTAAGTTGCTTTCCTATTATTTATTGAAGGCCGATAAGAGGAATTAAAAAAAGTAAATAAATAAATAAATAAAAACAACTTCTACATTTATACAAAATAATTACTTTACGACGAATTAGTCATAAATAATTCGTAGATTTGTTTTGAAGTAAGATGTTATAATAAAATTTGTAATTCTTTCTCTCTCTCTCTCTCTTTCTCACTCTCTTTCTCCCTCTCTTTCACACACACACACACAAACACACAAACTCTCTCTTTCTTTCTGTTTCACTTTCTCTTGTGCTTTAACGATTCTCTTAACGATCGAGACTGCAAGCGGATTATCAAAAAATGAGGGAGACTCGTAAGAATAAGAGAGGATGTTTAGGTTTGGCAGGTACGAGAGGAAAGACTTGATCCCTTCGCTCGTAAATGCCAACGCCTCGTAATTATAACGAGATATTCATTCTCTCTCACTCCCTCTCTCATTCTCATTCTCGTTCTCGTTCTCGTTCAGTTCTCTCTTTTCGAATATAACGAGCAAAGCCGACGAGATCGAAAAGGAAAGGCTCGAATCCTTAGGATCGACCCTCGTTACGTTGACGCCACGCTCGCAAATCAATCACTATGCACCCTTTTTCCCGGCGCTTATGATTAATCCTGAATTTCATTTCCTTTCTTGTTCGGCCGATCTTTGTCATTAAATGTGCATGAGAAAAATTAAGAAATGAAATCTACTTACCGATAATCGATGTAACCTCACTCGATTAGATATGTTAACTCATTTCAACATGATAGACGAATCCAATAGAATACCTCAAATTCTTCTCAAAATTGGGGAAATAAAGTTAAAAAAAAAAAAAATTGGAATTTTTGAATTTCTCAACCGATTCTTCGCGATAAATAATACGCAATTAATTTTGAAAATAGAAATATTTTTTTGAATATAATCCAAAGTTTTATGACAGACGTTTAATGGCGACGTTCAAACGTTTCGATTCGATATAACGATATTTTGTTTTTCAGAAATTCGCAACGAAGTTCAAGAAATTTTCCTTCGAACAAATGATTGTAATATTAGCCTGAAATTGTTCCGAATTATTTTGTCGGATTTAGAATCGCTAGCGACGTTCAAAAGTTTCGATTTGATAAAAAGATGTTTTTCTGAAAATTCATAAAATTTTTCCGAAATATTGCTCAAATCTTAAAATCTTTTTTTTAAAAATGAAAGAAGAAAACTATAAACTAGAATTATCTTCTAATTCTAATCTTACAAATGTTTCAATTCGATAGAACAATATTTTTCTCGAGAATTTTTAACGGAGTTCAAGAAACTTTTTTTTTTCAAACAAATTATTAATATTCTCTTGAAATGATCTTGAATTTTTTTTGACAACGTCAAATCAATAGCAATATCAATAGCAATATTTGAGCCAATAATTATAAATCTGTTCTAATTGTATGTCTAAAATTGAACACTCATATTCTTTCTCTTTATACACTATTTTTAATATTTTATAATAGCATAAAAGAATTCTTTTCAAGAACAGATATACTTACCTTTTTTTGTTTATGATTATAGAAAAATTATTTTTAATTAATTCAAACCATTAATTAATTTCGAGAATTCGTAATAAAATTTAAGAAACTTTTATTCGGTCAAAGATTATATCATTTTTCTAAAGTTCATCCAAATTCAATTGATCCAAACAATTCAGTTCATCCAAATTGAATTCGATCGCCAAAGAGTCCCAAATCGATAAAAATATATTTTGTTGAGAATTTATAAAAGAAAATTCGATGTATTTCGCTCGAATAAAAATTAAAAATATTCTTCTAAAAATGATTCAAATTTTCGTAATAATTTTTGAATCATTAACAAACATTTAGATGTTTCAATTCGTTAAAATAATATTTTATCGAACAATAATAATAATATTCAAAATTGAAATTTTTAAACAATCGTTCGATCATTAACGACATTTCGAAAAGCACAAAAAAAAAATACGAAAAATACAAAGAAACAGTCCTAACGTTCCCTTGAAATGGATCAAAATTTTTTTAACGACGATCATTCAACGACATTTAGACATGTTAGAATTCGACAGTACGACGTTTCTGCGTTCGTACGTGACAAAATTCCTCCGTGTCAGAAGAGGAAAGAAGACCTCCCCTCAAAAGAAAAAGAAAAAGAAAAAGAAAAAGAAAAAGAAAAAAAAACGATTATGCATGGATTGATTCCATTCATTGAACCGAAACACGTTTCTCGCGTAGTAAATATAAAAAAAATTGTAGAAAAAGTGGTTTGAGGTGAATGCAAATAATAGCTGTGCAAGGAAACGTCCGTCAAGAGAGCTTTGAAGAAGTGAAAGAGAAAAAAAGAGAGGAGAAAAAAGAAATAAAGAAAAAAAAAGAAAAAAAAAAAAAAAAAGAAGGGAAAGAAAAAGGAATAAAAAAAAAAAAATCTCTTAGCGACCACACCCTAAAAATTTGCGAAGGGTACAAGCTTTCTTTTTCTCCCTCCCCCTTTCTCTCTCTTTTTTTTTCTTATATACAATAGAGAGGTACACCTTCGAAAATCGATCGAAACCGAGAGCACCGTTGAACAAGGAGAAGAAGAAGATTTCGTAGCCTACGTTCAAAGAGCAGCGCTTCCTCCCTTCCACGAGCATTAAAGTTTCTCCCGTTGGACAAGCAGGACCGATCGGTTAGAAGGACGCGCGTATTTTTAAAAGAGAGACAAGAGGAAGAAAGACAGATAGATAGATAGATAGAGAAAGAGAAAGAGAGAGAGAGAGAGAGAGAGAGAGAGAGAAACTGAGAAAGAGAAGAATAAAAAGCCGGATTGGAAGTGCCTGAAGCGTGGAACACACGGTGATTCGTCGAAGGTAACGTCACAGTCAGGATAATGGCTTATTAACAAAGCGTGTTGCCGAGGAACGCGAGGAAGTGACAGAGAGGGGACCTAAGGTAAGGTAAGGGTAGGGGAAGAAAAAAAAATGAAATTAAAGAAAGAAAGGAAGAAAGAGAGAGTGAGAGAGAGAGAGAGAGAGAGAGAAAAGGGAGAGAATTCTGACGCCAGGAGTCCAGTCACGGATTTCTTGGACGCCTTCGAGGTAAAGGTCTCGGCACAACGGAGCTTTAATTACGCCGATATCACGGTAATTAAGCCGATCAATGCGTACCATTGTGAGCCGTGGTAAGGGCCGTGTAGAGAGAGCCCCGTCAACTCACGCTCCAGTCCCATCCATAATCCTGAACGCCGTCTACAAAAGCCACCATGAGCGAATCGATGTATAAAGAGGGTGTTATAAGAAGGCCCTCACGTACCTGAGAGATGTTACCCTTGCGACCACCTTCTATGCCAAGGGAAAAACCACGTAGAAGGAAGATGAGAACGGAGTAGGAGTAAGAGCGGGCTGGGGTAAAGTGGGGAGGGTAGGGGGAATGACGATGAGAATAAACAGAGTGACTTTTCGATCTATCTATACAATGAAACTTCCTTCCGTGTTAACTTGTTGTTCCTTTAAAAGAAATTATTTTCTTGTTTCTTTTTTTTCTTTTTTCTTCTTTTTTTTTTTTTTTCTTTTACGATACCAAGAGAACTTTTGTCTGTTAATGTTCTTTCCTTTTTTTTTCTTTTTTTTTTTTTTTGATTATTAGAAAAAATAATAATAGAAAGTAATAACGTAACGTTAAATTTCGATTAATCGATTTGGGAAAGAAATCGAAATCGTTTTCAATTGAACCCAATGATAAAGTAATATTACAAAATCGTATCATTTATTTCGGTGTTATTATTGATTAAAGTGGATTCGGAAAATTGTTCCTTTTTTTAGTTCTTTTTCTTCTTTGTTTTTGTTTTTTATTTAAAACAACTGATATGAATGCATTATTAATAGCTAAAAAGTAGTTAACGTTATTAGTTTATCATTATGATATACTATAATAACACAATAAAATATAATATAATAATATATATAATATATATATATATATGTATATATATAAATATATATATATATGTGTATATATATATATAAATATATATATGTATGTATATATATATATATATATAAATATATATATATGTATATATATATATAAATATATAAAATAATAATAATAATATATGTATAAATAAATATACATATATAATAATAATAATAATATATGTAAAAATAATATATGTAAAAATAAAAATCTAAACAACATATATTATAAATAACATAAAAAGTTTCATATTAATTTATTTATCCATATCATATTCATTTTCTAATATATTTAATATCAAAAATAAAAAAAGAAGTATTTCTTTCTAATAACATATCAATACAACGAATTTATTTGCACTTTTTAAAAATGAAAATTTAATTGAATTATCATATCATAATCATAATATCATTGAATATTTCAAAAAAATTATCAATATTACGACAAAATTATTTGTCTTTCTATTTTTTCCTCTTCTTCTTTCTTTTCCTTTTGTTTTCTTTATCTTATCTTCCCATATCTTTTCTTACTTTTATATCTTACGCGTAACAAAAAAAAAAAAAAATTTTTTTTTTTTGCTTTTCTTCCATTTCCAGGTTACAACTGCCGCCAGTACAACAACTACTAGTACAAATACGGTTAGTCCTAGCGTGAATGACATGGATTGGTTCGCCGGCGTTGCGGAAGAGGAATTGCTCTATTACACTGGCGTCGGCAACGACGTAGACTCGTTATGGGCCGTCATAGGGAGTTTCGTGCCGCCACCACCAAGGCCACCTTATCTTCCAGAGGAGGGTATCGCCACCGATGGACTTACCACCTGTGATCTGTGCTCCTGGGCGTGGAGAAACGACAGGCATTCATTCTCCTTAGACGGAACTCTTGGTGAGGGTTTACCATTTCTTTTTTCATTTTTCATTTATTTTTTGTTTATTTTATTATTATTATTATTATTATTATTGAGTTGGCAACTAAGTGATTGCCGGATTTCAAATAAGAAGGAAACGACAAAATCCGCAATCACTTAGTTACCAATCCATATTATTATTATTATTATTATTATTATTATTATTATTATTATTATTATTATTATTGTTGTTATTTCTCATCTTTTTTCTTTTCTGCTTTTTGTTTTTTTATTTCGTGTTTTCTTTCTTCTTTTTTTTTGTTCTTTTTTCCTTTGATTTCGTCAAAAAAAATTGTAACAATCGTCGATGTGTACAGGATGAAACGATAAAGACAAAAAAAAAAAAAAAGAAAAAAAAATTGAAACGTTATCGCAAGAACTAACTAAAGATATCGAATCAATTTCTGGGATAATTTAAATAAGTGATAATGAAGATCAATTCGTTACATTAAGAGTACAAACTGAAGTAAATAAACATTCTACTTGATTTTTTTTATAAATAATAATAAAATTATAAATACGATTACAAATAATAATAAAAGTAAAATGACATAACGATCGAAATAAAAAGCGTTGCAAAGTTTTATCTCGAAAATACAGTATTTTTGAAATAAATTTCAAGGAAAATATCAAGGAAGAAATATTATAGTGTTTATTGTTTTTTATTTTAGTGAAAAATTTCAAGATCATTTCAAGGTCAACTTCGTTTTTCTAAATAAGAACTTACATTTTTTAGAATAGCAATATATTCTACGTAGAAAATTCAATAAATATCGTCTGAAATATATTCTTAATTATTTTCAGTTTTCCGAAATATTTTAGAAAATATCTTTATGCTTTCGAAATTCAAAAAATATCATTGATCAGTAGCTTTATCAAGAGATTGAAAAATGTTTATTTTGATAATTTATACATTTTTATAATATTTATATTTTTATACTTAATAAATTAATTATATTAATAATTAAATTTATAAATTAACTATTTAATAATAGTTATCTATTTGAATACGTAAAATTCATCTTATAATGATCTTGAAAGATTTCACTAAATAAAAAATATAAAGGCCATAATACTAACCCCTTGATATGAGATAACTCTTTAACAATTCTTTTTTTACAAAACTCTTTAAACAATTTTTTTTTAAATTCCACGTTTACGGGATAAAAATTAAAACCTTATAAACTTATATATATATATATATATATATATATATATATATATACTTATATATACTTATATATATATATATATATATTATTATTATTATTATTATTTTAAATATATATATATATATAATATTTATTTATATATAAATAAATATTTATATATATTTATATATATTTAATATTTATATATATTCAAGTACCAAATATAATATATTTGGTACTTAAATATATATATATATATATATATATATATATATATATATTTAAGTACCAAAAATTATATTATTACAATAAATGAAAATATTAATATTTATAAATATATATATTCTTAGTAAATATTAAATATTTACTAATATTAATAATAATATTAAAATTTTTTCTAAAAATATATTTATATCCATAAAAATTATAATCCAATTAGAATATTAAAAAATGTATTAAGAATGTATTTATAAATATTATATTTTCATTAATCGTCTATTTACTATAATCAGAAAATATTATAAATTTTATTAAAAATATATTTATAATAATGCTGTTTTTTAAAACTTCAATTGTCAATTTAATCTATATACAAAGAAAAAAAATATATTTATAAAGATACATGAAAAATTAATATACAAATATATATATATTATATATTATATATTATATATTATATATTATATATTATATATTATATATATAACATATATATATATATACATACATTATCATATATATATACATATATTATGATATAATATACATGATATGTACAATAATATGTGAAACAAAAAAAAAATCAAAGATTTTAATATCTACAGAAAAATAATCTCCACAAGAAAATAAAAATTCTCATATCATTATATTTTCTTCCCTTCGAAAAAAAAAACAATTATCTCTTCTTGAAATATATTTCCGTATCATAAAAAATAACGAAGATATTTAAAACGATAAAATTATATGGGACGTTTTACCTACTCGAAACTTAATTTTAGGTTCCATTCGGACGGAAGATAAATGATCTAACTCTTATCTGTTTAACGGAAACATTCGTTACTCTCATGTTTACAAAATTCTAATCATTACGGAAGTCATTCGTATTTGTTATTACATTTTTTTTTTTATTATATTAGTTAGAACAATAGTTTATTAAATTACAACCATAAAAAGAAACGATCTCTTTCAGATAATATAAAAGTCATGGTATAATTTATGTAGCTACTCAAACAGGACCCTCGTCTGTAAGCATAGTAAATGTTTTAGGTCCGATAAAGTTCTTTCGACCAATCAAAATGTAGCTGGTCTCGCTTCGATGATTCTACCTACGTATCTACCTACAAATATCAACGTTCGTGGCACGAAACCAAGTAGTATTTTTTAATGTATACTTTCGAGCGTAGTATAGGATTGTGAAGGGGAGAGGAGAGTAACTCAACTAGTTCGAAGAGTTTTCATTTTCATATATGTTATATCCTTTGTTTCTATTTGGATCAATAATAAAATAATTTTTCAATATTTTTCTATCTGAATAAGTAACATTTTAATTATTACTTTTCATTGAAAATTTGATAGAAAATTTTAAATTATTTATATAGATTTGAAATATTGAAAATAATCGTGAATACTCGATAACTAAAGGTGTGTATGATTAGATTATTTGTAGTTATCGATACACATTAATATTAGAAGTCTTATTAAGAATATATTTTTACATTAAAAACAAAGAGAATTCTATTGTTTTCTTTTTTTTAAATATTATATTCTTTTATGTATATATATATATATATACAAATATATTCGTAAAATTAATAAAAATATTAATAATTAAAAATATATATTCTTAGTAAACATTAGACATTTATTAATATTGACATAACTATGTCAGAGTTATTTTTGAGAATATATTCATATCAATAAATATTAGAATCTAATTAGAATCGAATTAATTATAAATATATATTTATAAATATTAAAATATTTTTTATAAGCGTCTATTTATCGTAAATAAAAAATAATAATATTTATATTAAAAAATAAAAAAAAATATATATATATATATTAATTAAAGAAGAAATAATGTATTTTTTTTTAAAGCTTCATTACATTGTCAATTTAATCATTATCCAAAGATATTCAAAAAAATATATATATATATATTCGTAAAAGTAGATAAATAAAATATTATAATATCAATATAAAGTTAAAAAATAATCTGATATTTTTCTAAAAGAAAATTTATTTGGATGAGATTATTCTATAATTACGAATATTATGGCCCAAGTAAAAAGAAAAAAAAAAAATTGTTTGAAGACAACAGAAAGAAAAATTATTGTTTCTTCTGCTCGTATAAAACTACTCTATAGAGATCACATATGTAAATTCATAAAACGATAAACATCCTTCGTAAAACCACTTATCACGTATCATACCACGATTATCCGATCGTTTTGTTTCGATGTACAACTGTATTGGTTTCCTTAAAACCTATGCATTTAGCATTATTTTCTTTATCAAAATTTTCTTCTGACATGCAATAGAAAATTTGAAAAATTATCATCCGATGATAAATCTTTCGTAATTAAGACATTTACGGTTATATTTGTTTTGAATTTTTAATAATGTTTTGTATTACTTTAGTCGCTTGAAACATCTCCTACGTTTTTTTTAATTCGTCGAGTCACGTCTAATGACGTATTTCGGTATCGAATTAATTTTATTTAGCATTATGCCTGATGTGTCTGTCATGGGAATCTTTATATTAATTTCTTTCAATCGATCAGATTAGACAGATTTAGGTTTTTTCTTTTTTTCTTTTTGTGCATATTTTTTTAATTACACGAAAAAACATACGTTGCTCTGGTTGTTGTCCTTCATTTAAGAAAGCGCATGATAAACCTCCGTTATAAAATTGATTAACGTGAAGAATAAAATATCCATCCTGTCCATGAGCACACCTGGATTTACATTATAAGAACGTAATAATGTATAATTTTACGACGAATCGTCTATTCTCGAAAAAAATTGAGCCATCTGTCCTTGGAATTAGGAAGGGACGATTCATTTATTATTTTTTAAATGATATTACGAACATATCCTATCCCACGATTATAAACGTAACTTATGAATACTATATTAATACATTGTATTCGTAAAGAATAATTATTTTATGATAAATTGTTAGTACATTATGATTTAATATTTCTGGGAGTATTTAATTTTTTATATTACAAATAACTTACCTAATTTTTTTTTATTTTTTTTTTTTTTTTACAGATAAAGGATATAATTTATGAATTTTGCCCAATAATTGTCAGTTCTAAATATTAGAAATATTCAAAAATCGGATTGTATCGAAGAAATATGAGATCTCGTTGTCTCACTCATTAACGCGCCATCTCATTTAAAATTATCCTATATACGGATATATTATGTAAACAAAATAATAAGAATAAAATAAATATCAATTCTTTCTTCAATAATCTCAGCTTACATACATATTACATTGAGTATTCTTTATCTATTAATTAATACATTCGTTATATTATTTATCTTCTTATAACAACATAATCCTTCTCGATGGATACGAAACTTTACAGAAATAATACTTCCCTTTGTAAGAAGGAGTCGAAAAAAAAAAATGAAAAACAAAAAGAAAAAAAATTTCATGATCGAAAGAGAAACTCGATAAACCGAAGATGGTACCCCCGCCCTTCCCCCTCCCCCATTCCATTATACACCATAAATGTAGCTCTCTCACTTTCTCTCTCTCTTTCTCTCTCTCTCTCTCTCTCGCTCACTTAATATACTACAATACATACATATGT